GAGAAAGAAGCAGCGAGTGAGAAATCGTCTCTGAAGGCAATCGGCCCCCTGAGGTTTGACAGACGCAGCCGGTAATCAGCGCCGATCAGCGGCAGCAGGTGACGCTTTCTCTGAGTCGTTGGGAGCGGGAGCCACGGAAAGAGACAAACGTGACCTTTGAAATGTTTTAATGTTAAAAAATTCAGAAAGAAACAACTTAATTAAAAAATATTAAATTGTGTTCTATCATATGTTTTCTTTTTCATCTTAAATTTGTTAAATACATAAAGTTATAGTTTTAACACATCAAATGAGTCATATTTTAAGAGGAGCTTTAATGTTTTATTCAGTATATTGAATGAAAAGATTGAGAAAAATCAATTTATTGGTAAAAAAGTACTTTAAGTTGTGCTACGCTGCATTTTTTCCCAGTTTTTCTCTTGAATTTGTTCCATAAACACGCCGTGTGCCTGAGTTCTGAACTCAGAACCGGTCCAGAAATGGTGACTCAACGGCTGATTGTGTTGAACACGTGCAGCGTGCGCCCGGCGGTTTCTGCGCGGATACCGGCCGCGGATACCGGCCGCCATTATCTGTCAGTTCCGGCCAAGTTTGACAGCTCCATCACCGCAGAGTCATAAATCTGAGAGCGGTGGCAGGTCTGAGCGTTACCCAGCACCGTTTTACCAGAACTCATTATGTAACCGTCCATCTGCAGCCGCCGCGCCGCTCTGCATACAGATTGGACATTAACAGGCCGAAACGCAGCGGACATACTTCACGATTTTTCTGAATTACGTCTCAAACCACATAGTTTTGGAAAGAAATTCTACCAAAAAATAGCAGGAGACTCGATTGATAACAAATTTTCCTAGAAGTTATCACAATAAATTATTATATTGTTCGACTGTAACCATTTTCAAGTAATATAATCAGCCCCGCCCATCCGATTAGCCCCGCCCACCCGGTTAGCCCCGCCCACCAGCTCATGTCTGCATGTTTCCAGTAAACAATAATCGCCCCACTTTTCTCAACTTAGCAACTTTTTTCCAATAATTAGCAACATTTCAAATTTTTTAAAAATATTTAATTAGTCAAAATCAGAATCAGCAGGTCTGGGGTTTTAAAGATCAATAATCGGCGATCGGCCAGAAAACTACAATCAGTGCAGCAATGATACTAATAATCCAAAACACATTTTTATTTATCAATAACTTTAAATTCTAAAGCATATTTCACACTGGAGCTGGAAGATATTTTAAATATCCAAAGTAAATAAACAAAAACAACAAAATAATAATTATAAAGTCTCTGCAAACAAAATTATCCTTAAAGAAAAACAGCAAAATAAAGAAGTATATCATCCAGTTTTTGGTAAAAAGAAAAAACAACAAACAATCCAAATGATTTCACTTTAATTTATTATGCAATTAATTGATTTACTGCTTATTAATTAGTGCTAATACCGATACTTTTTATCATTTAAGCTGAATTTATGATTAAACTTTTAACATTTTGGTGATTTTTTTTGTTTTTTGAACAAAACAAAACTAATTATTGAATTATATTGTTAAAAATTAAAGTTTTTGAACAAAGTTGAATTAAATATCTTAATTGGTGATAAACAGAACAAACAGAACAAAACAAATATTTTTTCTTAAATAAAGCACATAAGATGATAATTTCAGAGAAAGTCAAAGCAAAATCCTTTTTGAGGTAAAGTTAAGAAACAACACAAATAAACTAAAATTTCATCAGGAAATGTGAAACTTAAGTTTCAATCTGTATAAATTCCAGTGTAAACAGATTTTTGTTGTAAACTGGGAATGTTTTTTTTTCCTGTTCTGAATGTTTAAAAGACCCAGTTGGTTTTGTTTCCAGGGTTCCTGCAGCAGTAAAATCCTCCGCCTCCTTTGGGAATCATAAAATGCTTTAATGCAATAAAAGCGACTTTATTAATCCCTCGTCAGGCTGAAACCTTCGACTCCTGCGTTCCTGATGAAATCAGTGAAAGCTGAAGTTTCACCAACATTGAATTTATTTTTAGCTTTTTCCTTCATGGTCGGTTGTGATGAAACAAGTTTTCACCTCCTGACCTTCATTTCTTGGATTACATTTCTAGTCTAGAGATTTAATCCTTAATTTTCTTCTAGGTTTCCTCATTTTTATCACTAAGTTTCTAGATAATCAAATAACTTTTTTTTACAGGCAGTTTTCATAATTATTTCATTTATTAGAGTATAAAAATCAATCCGCTGCTGATCTACACAAAACATATTTGATATAATTACTAAACAATTATTAAGAATCAAATTCATACATAATCAAGTAATTTCAGTTCTTTTATATTCCACTCATAGCATTAAGCTAACCTTAGCATTTCAGCTAATACATGAATGTTAGCATAGTGAGTGGAGTAGGTCACTGTTACTCAACATGCTAGTGGTAACCCTCCATGCTAACATTAGCATTGTAGCTAAAATAACTGTTTTATCACACTGAATGGAGTACATCATGCTAGTAATACCTGACATGCTACTGGTAGCATTTAAGATGAAATTAGCATTTTAGCAAATTTTAGCTTATACGCTAATGTTTGCATACTGAGTGCAGTAAGTCAGTGTTACGCAACATGCTAGTGATAACTTGCATCCCGTTGGTAGTGTCAACATGCTAGTGACTCTGTGTTCTAGTGATAGCCCTCATGCTAACATTCGCTTTATAGCTAAAATAAGCATTTTGGCTAAGAGAATTTTAGCTATTTTTTGACATATTTGTCACATTTAGCAAACTGAATGGAAAACCCCAATACATCCACATACTAGTAATGCTATTTCAGCTAACCTTACCATTTTAGCTAACTTTTTTTTGTCCTCAGGACGCTGGATTCCAACGTACATTCTACAGTCCAGTGTGACAAAAGCCCTGAAGAACTTCTGGAGTTGTCACCGCTTATAAAAGTTTACCTTGATCTTAAAGGCACCAGAGCTGGAACTTTAATCTGCTCTCCGCTCTGCCTGTCGGAGTTTTCCTTCTCCATCAGGAGCGACGCAGGTTTCCCTGATTAAAAATCAAGCTGAGCCTCTGAGGTTTTCTCACACAGACCCATTAATGTCACACCGACTCGCTTTAGAGCGAGACATAGATCTGCTAATTAGATGCTGATTACATCAACAGTTGCTGATGTTGATGAAGATGATCAATATTTAATCTGTGGTTCTACAAAGCTCCAGTTTCTGCAGACGAAACATTTTCTCTTGACTGGAATCTGGATGAACAAGTTATGAATTATAGAATATCAATCAAACTATGTATTAACTTGAAATGTAATTTCTGTGCTTTCAGTTTCTGGTTTGCATGAATTACTGCATCAATGCGACGTGGCATGGAGGAAATCAGCCTGCGGTTCTGCTGGGGTTCTGGAGCCTTCAGGTAGTCTGGATCATTGGTTCTGGTGTCTCATCTACAACTGAAGCGATTAATTGATTGTTAAAACAATCAACTAATTTAGTAATTGATTAATCATTAACTGAAGTGTACAGACTCAAAAAAAAAAAAACAATAAACGCCTTTTGGCAGAAATATATAAGTACAATGTTTATGTTCCATCTATCCATCTTCTGCCGCTTATCCGGGTCGGGTCGCGGGGGTAGCAGCTGAAGTGAGGCCCAGACTTCCCTCTCCCAGCCATTTCCTCCAGCTCCTCCGGGGGAATCCCGAGGCGTTCCCAAGCCAGCCGAGAGACGTAGTCCCTCCAGCGTGTCCTGGGTCTTCCCGGGGCCTCCTCCCGGTGGGACGTGCCCGAAACACCTCACCAGGGAGGCGTCCAGGAGGCATCCTGACCAGATGCCCGAGCCTCAACGGGCTCCTCTCCATGTGGAGGAGCAGCGGCTCTACTCTGAGTCTCTTCTCACCCCATCTCTAAGGGAGAGCCCACGCTATGGAGAAAACCCATTTCACTCACTTGTTTCCGCGATCTCGTTCTTTCGGTCATTACCGAAAGCTCATGACCATAGATGAGGGTAGGAACGTAGTAAGTAAATCGAGAGCTTCGCTTTTTGACTCAGCTCTCTCTTCACCATGATGGATCGGTACAGCACCGCTTCACGGCGGACGCTGCACCAATCCGCCTGTCGATCTCCTTCTCCCTTCTTCCCTCATTCATGAACAAGATCCCGAGATACTTGAACTCCTCCACTTGGGGCAGGACATCTCCCTCGACCCGGAGAAGCACTCTTTTCTGACTCAAGACCACGGTCTCGGACTTGGAGGAGCTGATCCTCATCCCGGCTGCGAACCGCTCCAGTGAGAGCTGCAGATCACGTCCCGATGAAGCCAATAGGACAACATCATCCGCAAAAGGCAGAGATGGATCCTAAGGCCACCAAAACGGATCCCCTCAACACTCTGGCTGCGCCTAGAAATTCTGTCCATAAAAGTAATGAACAGAATCTGTGACATTCTGTTTATGTTATTTAAAATAAATTGCAAAAAATTGTTCTTACATAATCAAATGGAAATTTTGGTATTTTTAAGACAACAATTAAAATTTGTATCAATAGCAAAAAATAACAGTCAAGTAAAAGAAATGTTTCTATTAATTTTTTTATAAAAAACTGATGAAACTAACAGAAACTGCAGGTGTTTGTCTGTCTGGTGAATTTCTGGTTAAAACTGGTTGTTTTCATTCAGTGGGGAGAAAATCCACAAAGTTTACTCAGGTAAGAATATTTCTAAATAAAACAAAGAATACTTCAAAATAAAATAAACACTTCAAATAAAATAAATACTTCAAACTAAAGTTACTCAAAAGTAAAAGTATCAGATGTTGAGATCTCAGCTGGTTTCGGGGCTTTTTACGTTGTTTTGGGCTGGAAACTGTCAGATCTGGCAACCTGTTGACCCCGGGCACCAAACGGCCTAGGACCGCCCCTGCGCGCATGGGGTTTGCACAGGAAGCTCTAAAGGAGGGAGACCCGCATCAGCTGCGCTCAGACGCAACATCTCCTGCTGTTTGTCTCTCCGCCTCCGTCTCTCGCAGCGCCACCATGCGCTCCTTCAACGCCACGCAGCGGAACCTCAGCGGGACCGCGAACCACTCCGACCCGTTCGGGCGCAACGAGGAGGTGGCCAAGCTGGAGATCACGGTGCTGAGCCTGGCGTTCGTGGCGGCGGTGGTGGGGAACCTGAGCGTCCTGCTGGCCATGCTGCGCAGCCGCAGAAAGCTGTCGCGCATGCACCTGTTCATGAAGCACCTGAGCCTGGCCGACCTGGTGGTCGCCTTCTTCCAGGTGCTGCCGCAGCTCTGCTGGAAGGTCACCTTCCGCTTCTCCGGGCCGGACTTCCTGTGCCGCATCGTGAAGCACCTGCAGGTTCTGGGCATGTTCGCCTCCACCTACATGATGGTGATGATGACCGTGGACCGCTACGTGGCCATCTGCCACCCGCTGCGCAGCCTGCAGCAGCCCACGCAGCGCGCCTACATCATGATCAGCTGCAGCTGGGCGTGCAGCCTGCTGCTCAGCTCCCCGCAGTACTTCATCTTCTCCCTCAGCGAGGTTCGGCCCGGTTCGGCCGTCTACGACTGCTGGGGTCACTTCGTGGAGCCGTGGGGGCTGCGCGCCTACATCACCTGGATCACGGCGGGGATCTTCCTGGTTCCGGTGGCCGTGCTGGTTTTCTGCTACGGCTTCATCTGCAGGACGATCTGGAGGAACCTGAAGGGCAAGACGCGCAGGAAGAGCGCGGCGGGCGGACCGGCGGCGGGCGGCAGGTCCGGGATCCTGGGCAGAAACTCCGTCAGCAGCGTCTCCACCATCTCGCGCGCCAAATTACGCACCGTCAAGATGACTTTCGTGATCGTGGTGGCTTACGTGGTGTGCTGGGCTCCGTTCTTCACCGTCCAGATGTGGTCCGTGTGGGACCAAACCTTCTCCTGGCACGGTGGGTCTCCTTTCTGCTCCACAATTATCACAAATATTATCAAAAATTATCCTTTTTATTCCTCTGGCACTTTTCTAACGGCGCGTAAAAGACGCAGATCTGCGCTGTTTCTCTGAAAAACGGAATATATTATGAAAATGAATCAGTAAACTGTTCATTTTCTTCTTCCTAAAAACTTTTAATATATGATTCATGTCTAGTTTATATTTAGATTTCTGAGTGTTTAGAGAAGATAAATAACATTATTAATAAATAAAGTTGAATCTCTGAATGACCAAAACTTAATACCATTTCATCATATTATCCACCATAATTCACTTTAATTTATATTGTCTGTAGTAGTTAAATAAAATGTAATCATACATTTATTTGTCTTCTGTTACCCAAAATGCAATTTATTTTTAAAATTTTGTTTTGGATATTTACACAAATTAGTTAAAGTTTCGTTTTCCTTGAAAATCAACAAGAAATTATATTGTTAGTGAAAAAAATGGATGTAAACTAAATCTATTGTATTTTTAGATAAAGAATAATGACAAAAACATTTCACAGCACTAAAATAGAGAAAAAAGTATCTTCATGAAAATTAAAAATATGATTAATTTATGTTAATTCATGAGGAAAAAGTGTTAAAATGTTGAAACTTTTCACATTTCATTGTTTGTGACTCTTTAACAGCTGAAAGTTCATAAAAATCCTCGTTGGTGACGATAAACGAACCAAATACAAAATATTACAACTTTATTCTCGTGACTGTATTCTGACCCTCAGAATACAAATATGCAAATCAGATGATGACATCATCCAGTGACCTGCTGAGACGTTTGTCAGTTGGTTTAGACTCCAGAACTGATTCAAGCTGTTTGCCTCGTTGAAACTCAACCTGGTGATTTTTTAAACTTAATTTTATTGAATAAAGTTTTTCTTTGGTCCTGCAGACTCAGAGAACCCGGCGGTGACGCTGTCTGCCCTGCTGGCCAGCCTCAACAGCTGCTGCAACCCCTGGATCTACATGATCTTCAGCGGCCACCTGCTGTCGGACTTCCTGGGCCTGCTGCCCTGCTGCCGCCGGCTGCGGGACCGGCTGCGGCAGCAGGGCTCCGACAGCAGCATCCGCCGCAACACGCTGCTGTCCCGCCTGCAGGCGCCGCGCCCGTCCGACCTCAACTTCACCTTCAAAAACTGTCCGCCGGCCACACCGGCGTCCTGACCGGCTGACTCAACCAGGGAGCTGAAGGAGCTCGGTTCGGTCCACACGGGAACAGATCAGATCATATAAAAGCAACTTTTTTAAACTTTCAGTAATGTGTCTAAAACAAGCCTTGAGAGTTACTTTGATTCTTTCATGCATGTTTGACAAATCATTTAATTGGCATGGCAAACGCCTGTTCAGACTGAACCCCGCCTTCGAGGCGCAGCTCCTCCCCCACTCTGCTCCTTCAGACTAGCCAGCACCAATTAGCAAACACCTGGAGGAACTGCTGAGCTCATTATGGAGTCATTCTCAGCGCAACGCTGGTTAAAGCGCTGGTAAAGGGTTAATAGAGGAACCATGTTGGGATGACTTCCTGAAGGCAGAGCTTCTTAAAGAGACAGAGGCCCAATTTTAAATGACAAAGTTAAACTTCTTCTAAGTCATGTTTGATATATTTAGGGTTTTTATAATGTTGACAGTAAAACAGTTACTTAAATATGCTATAACATGGAAAACATCATACTGCCTCTTTAACATATTTCAGATATAAAATAAATGAATATGGCTGCCAAAAAGGATGATTTACCAATACAAGCTGGTGCTAAGTGTTTCACAAATAAAAGTCACTTGGAAACAATAATTGTTTTGGCTTTGAGGAAAACTAGAATAGAAAAAATCTCAAATGCGGCCAAAAGTTTTTATTCACCTTTTTTTGGTTGTAAATTCTTTGACTTTTTCTAAGCATAAATAAACATCCAATAAATTTGGATTAATGAAAAAATATTGAGAATAATGTGGATTACCATCTGCTGCAATCCTAAAACTCCAAACACAATTTACATATTAGAGTTGAGGATCTGAAAAACATCTGAAAAAGATAAAAACTGAACAACATAAAATATATGTTTCCACAGGTGGATTATATCTCCAGAGGATTTACTGTGTCTTTGTATTTTCTAAAAAATAATCCACCAATAATCCACCAACCTTCAGGCCAGAATGAACCTGGCCTGCAGGTTCATTCTGTGCTTTTAGTTGTCGGTTAGTTTCCTTCAGTAGAAACACAATGATTATTGTTCTGGCCTGAAACAGGAACATTAATTTCCTGACAGCTGGTATCTAATGACTTAAATCTTCCTTGTAAATACAGGAACCAGATCTGGAACAGCAGAAAATTTATTATATTCTCAGTATGTTTACATTTCTTACATAAATACTGAGAATATACAGTTTTTTATTCACCTTAAGGCTAATTGGATGATTAAAAAACATTTTCCCAGGAGAAAAATCACAGATTCTCCTTATAGAACCATTAAAACCATTAAAACCTTTGAACTTGTTGAGGAAAAGAAAAATGTGGCTGTAATTTAACTCTATTTTCTGAATGGAAACGGATTCAAACCCAGAGTTTATAAAACCTAATAGATGTAATTTAGTTTACATTGTTGCAAGTTATCTTTACCAAGTCGAACTCGTTTGCTAGTTGAGGTTTGGGTCATTTATTTACCTCATCCCACTCATCTCCTCATACGGGTTTCAAATTCACCTTTTATTGCATTTATTCTTGTCGTTTCTCTTCCATCATCCCACTTCATCTCACTCATCATCCTCATAAGTTATTAACCCACCAACCCACTCATCCTCCTCATTTATCTTACAGCCTTTTTCATTCAACTCATCATTTTAATACTTTTTAAAACTCCTAATCACCTTTTGCCATTTCTGTTTTTTATCCAATCTAATTTATCTCACTCATCCTCCTTTCATCTTCATCTCATCATTTCTCCTTCCTGTTCATCCTCCTCATTCTTCCCATCTCACTCATCTTCCTTAACTTTAGAATAACTTTGCACACCATGGTGTTTAAGCTGAAACTTTTCTCATGTAAATACCTTGTTTACTTATGAGCTCCTCCAACAGGGGGCGCTGCAGAGGCATGTTTAAATTGTTTCCTCCATGAATTCATATAAAAATAGTTCAAACTGTGGTGGGTTAGAAATTGATGTGCACTTTGTTTATGCGATAAATAATGTAAATATTTGTATTTTTCAATGTGATTTGACGTTTTGTGACGTTTGACGTTTTGTGACGTTTGACGTTTTGTGACGTTTGACGTTTTGTGACGTTTGACGTTTTGTGCGTTGCATTCGGACGGTACTGGGTTCCCTCAGGATGTTGCAGGTGATGCATATTGTACCAAGCTGTTGTCTGTCTGCATGTTGTAGTTCACATGTAATAAAATTATGAAATTTTTATGTAATTTCATGTCTTAGTTTTGTGAGTTTTTTGGTTATTATTCCTGCTTTAGATGCTTAAACAGTGAAATGTCTCTAAGGCGCCAAGAAGTCCGGTGGACGTTGTCGACGTCTTCGTATCATTTTGCTCTAAACTCATGATTGGTCTTGAGTAGTTTTGCAAGATTTCCCATCTGAATGTTCATGAGTGGCATCAGTTTGCAGTTGGAGGAATATTTCCTGACTCCATGTCACAAAGCTGCAGCATCTCAGGCTGGTTTCCTCCACAGTCACCAGATCTCAGCCCAACAGTGGAACATCGTTCTGTGGGACGATCTGATTCTGGCATGGTGCTCCTGTAGACTTGGCTGGTAAGTAAAGCGTCTCTTCTGGAGAACATCTTGATCAGATGCTCTACCACCCAACAGATGACACTCATTTCAGCTGATCTTATCCAACATGCTGTTCTTTCAGCTAAGACCTCTGAGAGTTTGAACACATCAGGATCAGTGAATCCAGATCTCCAAGCAGATGAAAGTCCATCTTTCTGCCATCGTTCAGGAACAAAGACATCAAGATGAACTCCTCCAGTTGAAGCAAAGCGGAGCAGACCTTCATCAGGTCAGAGCTATGGTTCCTATCCTGGTTCCTATCCTGGTTCCTTCTCTCTTACTTCACTTGTTTATTGGGGAAGGGTTTTGGTTGGGGAAGCCAGTAGAACATCATCTGCTACAAAACCAAAACAGTCTGAAATTTGCAGCTGTTTCTCTGTGGAATTTGCATATTTTCTCCAAGTTCATCAACTTGTCCAAACAACATGCATGCTAGTTTAAGAGTCGAGTTTAAAAAACTGGTGAAGAATCTGCTTTGTAAACCAGGTAAAGTCACTTATTTACCAGGTTTTGTCAATGAAGGGAGCTACTGGAGCTACTGGGAGCTACTGGTTCCACATTCAACCTCTTGCAGCTCAAAGTGTTCCCCTCAGAGATTATGATGAAAGGAACAATAATTTCCTGTCTGCGATAACTTAATTAGTTTGGAAGCACCTAAAGTGATTAAATAGCACAGTTCCTGCTCTGCTCCTGAACAAAAACACGTCTCTAATGCGAAAATGATTGAAAGCTGTCATCCAGATACGCAACAGCTGTTAAAACAAATATGAAAAAAATGCTAATTTGCAGGTAGAAAACCCAGAAATGTGCAGGGAACCACCTGCAGAGAGTCGATCTGCTAGAGTCCATTCGAAACTCTCAAACGTTTTGCTGTTAGTCATTTAGGAACTAAACTGTCTTCATATGAAACTTTATTGACTGACAGCAGCGACACGTCTGGACCCACCTTCATCAATTTGTCCAAAAACTGCATGTTAGCTTGAGAAAAAATGTGGCAAAGTCAAACCTGATCAAATTGGTGGATAATTTGATCAGGATATTTATTTTGCTCGCTAAATAGTTAGGAAGTAAGTTAACTCTAGCTCTAAATTAAATATTTAACTATCAGGCAGCTAAAGTCTTGAAATAGCTAAATATTTAACTATTAAAATTAACTTGTCAATTATCTAAATAATGATACAGAAATTACCAAATTAATTAACTTATTAACTAAACCTTCAACTTGCTAATTGACCTTTGTAAATAAATAACTTGGTGAAATATGACTTTGGAAATGAACCCCGTTTTCCCATCATGATGGACTAAAAGCTCTAAATTATGGCTGCTAAGTTTTGACTAGATCGTTATGAACGGCTTCCCAGTTTTATGTTTACAAATGAAGCAATCTGTTAGTGAAAGATTGAACCTGCTGTGGGAATGTTTTAGTTTTCCGTCTGGTTTTAAGGAATTTCAGTTTAATATCAATCACTCTGTCAACGCAGGCCCCAGCTTATCAAAGAGCTGACGTCAGGAAATAAGAGAAAGGAAGTGCATTGTTTAAGACAGGAAGTGGAGATGAATGCAGCAAAGCAAAGCAAAAGCAGCAGTTGAGTTGATGAAAGCCGTCAGGGTGGAGACCCATCCTGTATGCCGGCTTTAAGTAGCCTCTATCTGTCTATAGATCTATAGATCCACATCCCAGCCTAATTTACATCTGGCTGCTGTTTTCTGGAAAAACAAACGAATCTGTCTTCCTCTGACATCTGATGGTGTTCTCCAACAGAAATAGTTTCCTTGCTGCTCTTGTTTCAGTAAACATGAAGCTAGCAGCGATTAGCTTTCTTGTTAGCAATAGTTAGTTTGGTCTGTCAAACTCGAATCCCACTGGTTTTCTTTCTTCTAACTTGGACTGGACTCTTTCCAGTAACTGGGTGGATGACTTATTGTCTTTTCCATGAACCTAAAGCAGAAACATCAACATTCATCAGTTTTCGTCATATTGTTTCAGCCTGAATTCCTAAATCTGCTTTCCTCGCTATGCTAATGCTAACTTTACCATATATGGAAATAGTAAATAGTGAGCATTTGTTTCAACTGTTTATTTCACTGTATCAATACTACAAGTTTGTGTCATTTTTGCTTTTTGGAGTTTTACCTGCTTTTCCAACTTCTTATCATAACTAGCTGTGCTACAGTGCTAACACTAGCTTTTAGGTAAATAGTAAAATGTACTTTTCTCTCAACTATCAGTTTTCTTCATATGCTGTTGTATACCAGAATAACAACAGCTGATATTGTTGCTACTGCTGGATGTAAGCTTTCTAAACTGTTATTTTTCCAACTTCCTGTAGCCCCTAGCTGTGTTACAGTGCTAGCTGTAGCTTATACATAAACAAAAACAACAGGAGGATTTAGTTCAGCAGCTATTTATAGGTTGTCCTCAAAAATATTTTGGTTGGCACTTCTCACTCTAGCATTAGAATGTAATTTCTAATATGCTAGAAGCTAGCTCTGCTACATTGCTAACATGTAGCAATATAAAACAGGAAGTGCAATCAGAGAATGTGTTGTATATTTTTTAAGCTAATTTCTTCCTGTCTTATACAAGTTTAGCAGACAGTTAGCATGCAACTGTTAGCATCTCTGCTCATCATAGTATTAAAAAGTATCTTTTTAAACTTCCTGTTGCAGTTAGCTGTGCTCCAATGCTAGCATTTAACAATATAATAACAAGAACAGCAAGCAGGGCATCTGTTGTAGATATTTTTTATTTTTTCCTGAGAGCTAATTATTGGCAAAATTGAACTGAAGCTTTTCCAACATCCTGTAGCAGCGAGCTGCGCTGCAGTAAAAGTATTGTTGGAATCTCTTCACTTCCTTGCTATGGTCCACATTTCTCCCTGAGTTTGTTTTTTTGACCAGCAATGTTTAATTGGTGCTCAGCTTTAAATGTGGGAGGCAAAAATATTAATTGTCCTTTTTGATGCTAGTCACAGCTAAGTGGACAGCCATTTTGTAATCTGAAGGACAACAGAACATGTAATAATTAACTTTAAAGCAGACGGTTATCTTGCTGGAACAGAACCGTTTTTCTTTTAATGTCAACAGCAAACTGAAGCTGGATCACAGCTTCTCCTCGTTTTGTTTTAAATGTATTTGAAAATGCTTTGAGTCATTTAGTCCCTTCATTGTTGTTTTAATTTCCTTCTTTGGTCTTTTTAAAATTACTCATTGAAGACCCAACATCATACAGTATTGCAGTTTCAGAAATGCATTTTTCTTAACTCAATATGTTTTAAAATGAATTTTTACCTGCAATAGGTGATGATACTGTGTAGTAGTAACTTAATTGGTATCTGTTAAATGCTGCTCGCATCACGTATTGCATTTTATTTATGTTTTCATAGCAGGAAAATGCAGATCAACATATTTTGGAGCTGGAAGATGGGAATATGTTCTGCATCAGACAGTCCAGAACCCAGATTCTGATCAATTACAACCAGGAATGTTGATTTTAATCTTTCCAAAGCTTCTCTGTAGCGTAATTTGTCCTATTAGTCAAGCTTTATGCACAAAGTTTCCATTAAGCATCCAGTAAGCAGCTATTTACTCCAGTTTAATTAGTTTCCTCCACCAGCAGAACCCCGTGCTGGCAGTCTTATGTAACTGGATTATGTTGCATCATATATGGAAAAACAGAAGTTTTAGTTTGGTTGAACGACAAACTTTTATAAGATTTTTCAGCAGAAAATTCAAATTCTCTCAACATTTAGGACGAATATTGCAGGAAATTGTGTTCATAAATTTCCTTCTGTCCTCAAGATTGTACTGCTGGACAGTACAATGATACAATCTGTCCTGCAGCAGAAAGATTTTTACATTTGGCTGCCTGAATGTTTAACTTCTTACATGTAGTCCGTTCACAGTGTTTCATCCTTTTAAACTGGACCCAATGACAGCGTCAGTCTTTGGGTAATGGCGTTTTCTTTTTCTCTCTCACTCTCCGTTTTATTTAATTAACAGTGTTTTTAAGTGGCAATAATTTTACTTTTTCCTTGCTTTTTATTTTATTTTTCAAATGGATAAATTTAATCTGCACTTGAATGTTTGCCAGTTATTTTAATGTATATACATTTTATTAATTCGTTTTGTTTAATTTGTTAATCATAAACCTTGCAGTTAAATTTTAAATTAAAAGTACCAACAAATTTCAGGTTTTGATTCAGTGTCTTGCTGCCCACTGCTGGTCGAAGTGCTAACTGCAACCTTAGCTTGCTTATTTCTTGGGCCGGCTTGGCTCAATAAACATGGCTGAGAACTATAACAGTTTTATGAGAAGAAAAAAAAAAGAATCAAAAATAAAATTAAGCAAGCAAACATGATAAAAAATATCTTCAAAAATTCCCTGAATTTAAAGTTAAGCGATGTTAATTTTTACGAGGAACTTGAACTGAACACGCAGCATTTCGCATGTTTACCATGTTTACCATGTTTTACATGAGCCGCAGCGTTTATTCCTCCATTTTTCCTTCTGTTTAAAGACTCGTAAATGTAAGTACAGCCGAACTGACACCAGAGCGGCTACATTTGACACGGACAAGCTCAGCTGTTGTCAGCGGTGGTTTTAAGTTAGTAAAAGTAATATTTTTGACTTTAAGCGTTAGCTAGCGCTCACTAGACTGTTAAAGTGGCGGCGCTCGACATGAAGCGTTTTTCACTCCGACTTTCTGCTCATTTTAACGATCCGATAAAACTGAGGAAAACATATGTGAATGAGAGAAGCTTTATTGAAAATTCGGCTGCAATGAAATAAAGCTTATATAAAGACAAAAAGTAAAAAGAAGTGAAAAAAACAAAAAAACTCCGTAATGTGATGACGCAGTTGGTTTGATTACCGTCTTTGCGTGACTTTTAAACTTTAAAAACGTTTTGATTGATGATTTTTCTAATAAATTAGTGTAAAAACGTGCAGCGGTTCGCTGGTTTGTTGAACTGCAAGGTTTGCTGTGCAGAGACTCAGAACTTAAGGTCATAATTCAGGCCAAAGTCCTGGACTGGAGGTTCTGTTGGGTCCAGTTCAATGGAAGATCTGGAGGTTCTGTTGGGTCCAGTTCAGTGGAAGATCTGGAGGTTCTGTTGGGTCCAGTTCAGTGGGTCTTCTTATGAAAACATTTCAAAAACACAAACCTAGGAGAAACCAAGTATTTTTGGTCTCAATTCTAGTTCAAATATCTCAGTGAACTAGAAATAAAACTAACTTTGTTTTAATGACAGATTATTTCTCTTATGGGAAAAATCAACCATGTTTTAAAAAAGTCAAGCAGTGAAACTGGTACTTTTTAAAATTGATATTATGGAATTATTGACTTAAAAAGCTCCCATATCCTCCTGAAACATTAGTTATTTGCTAGTTTTACATCAAGTGCACTAAGTTATTTGCACTGGTATCTAGACAAAAACCCACATCAGCATTATTGATGTGAGTTCAGGGAGTTAGAAAACTGCAGAACCATTAAATAAATCAGCTGAATTCAGCAAACAATCACAGGAACCTTACAGGAAATTTCCTGAAATGTTCAGGTTAGAAAATCTGAAGCAATAATTTTTTTTATTTGGAGGTAGAGAACAGAGGTAGATAATAAAACAAAGCATTTTTGCCTTATAGAAGTAACAGACTATTCACCATAAGTGGAAATAAAGACTCTGAAAACAACAGACAAAACCCAGCATCTTTGTTTGTCACTTGCTGCGTTTTATCAATCATGAAATTGGAATTACAAAAATAAATTAGCGTTATGTAAAGAAGATGAACAGGAAATAGAAGAAGGTTGATGGACAGAATGTTTTTTAAAGCATGAAGAAACTCATGATTTAATTCTTATTTAATGGAATCACAGCAGAAATCGTGATGAGCTTAGCAGGTTTGAAGTATCTAAAGGTTTAATATTTATAAGGCTGAAAACATATTAAAATCTGTTATATTTCCATATGTTTGACATCACCAAACATTTAGGTTAGGGTTAGGGTTAACCCTAGAATAACTGGAGACACTAAAGGGAGATCTTTAAAGTTATTTCTCTAAAATCAGTTCTGATGCATAAAATATTTACTGCCTTTTCACCATAACTGCATTTTTAAATGGAGCTTCAAACGTTTGTATCCCTTCGCTCTGTTAACTGCAGGGAGTCCTGTCTCTTCTTTCATTCATCTTATTGTTTCGTATCTTTGATGGATTCCCGTGTTTGTAAAACGTGGACCGGCCTTGATTCGCTTCAGTTTCCACGGTTCCATGCCAGCAAGGACAGCGATTTAATTAAATTTTCAAACACTTTCAGACTTGCTGTGAAGAAGATAAATGTTTAAAAAGAATTAAAAACACAGAATTTAACGTAAGAGTCAAGAGAAAACTCGTTTTAAAGCTGCAAGCTTTCAGTTTCTTTGTAGAAAGACTAATTCTGTTGCCAGGCTTGATCCAAATGCTCCACATCCACATGATTGGATGAATTATTTATTAAAAATGACCAAACAAAAGCATCACTGATCACTGCAGCAGGTTTCCCATGAGCGAGGCTGTGACAGCGAGCTGAGAGATTCACATGAACCACCTGAGTTATCAGAAACACAAGAGAGACGATGATGTCATGGCTTCAGATGACGGATGATGCAGCTGCAGGCGACACTGATTGGGTAACACCAGGATTATTGAAGAGTTATTACAATGTTGTAAAACCAGTAACATGATTCATTTAACATGAGAAGTTTAACATTTACTGTAAGAAATGACAACATTTTAAAAGATGTAGTTTAAAACCCCCCAACACTCTAGAAGAATCATGGCAAACTGGCTCCCTCTAGCGGCCAAAAGGCAGAACTTCTCCTCTCTTCCAAAACTTCAACATATTTTACTACCACAGAAAAGGAAACTTCCACCAAAAACTCATCCATTTAGAGATTCATCTCTGATGTTTTATAGAAAAAAAAAAGAAAACTAAAGTTCAAAATACATTTTTTTTGAAACTTTCAAAATTCCAAGTTCATTCAAAAAAATCTTTGAGATTAATTTTGATATTTTATTCTAGCAAATTTTGACCTTTCAAGTTCAGTTATTTCTGCGACTAATGATTTGTTTCTTACTTTTCCAACAACTGTAAAAAATGTTCCACCAAGCATCTCAGAAAGTTTTATATTAATCTTATAAATTTTCTAGAGAAATTTCCAAGCTTGAAAAGTTTAAAATTTGTGACTTTTGACACTGAAAAACTTGGAAGTTGATCCTCGATAATCTCTGAGATCAGTCTCAAACTTTCTGAGTTTAATTCTGACATTAATGAAGTTTCTTTTCTACTTTTCTAACCAATTAGAAAAAACCTTTCAGACAGCAGCATTGCTCACCGCGTCTCATGTTAATTCATCCACATGAACTTTGATGCTATTTGCTTTATCTCAGTTGTCTCAGATTTATGCAAAGATTAGTTTTGGACTTTAGTTCCTCTCACATATTGGTGGGACTATTTTATTTCAACATACAGAGACAAAGGCATGAAAATGTCTCTGAGGTGGAGAAAAGTTCACTGTAAGTTGTTTCTGGCCGGTAATCATCCGGTTATCTCTTCGCTTTGAGTTCAACTGGGGTCATTTTAAAAGTTCAAGGTTGACGCAGATGTTTTTATAATCAAATAAAAGCCAAATTTCACAATAAAATCATCAAAGAAAACTTTTACAGCAGGACAAGTTTTTTATTGCCAAATGTCAGTGCAACCTGAATATTAAAGGAATTGCAGTGAGATGGTTCTTGGTTCTTATTGCTGGTTGTATCTCAGGATAATAAACATGTTGGACTTTGAGTCGGTCATATAAAGGCGGCGGCGCTCTGCCGTGTTTCTCTCCACAGCTGATCGGCGGCCATGTCTCTGAGCTCTCCTCCGATTCTCTCTGTCCGGCCCTCGCGGGCGCTGGTGGACGAGGCGTTCGAGGTCCTGGTGGAGAATCTGCCGCCGGCGTCACCGTTCACGCTGTGCTCGCTGCACCACTCTGAGGACGGGGACGACTGGGAGGCGTACGGCCACTACTTCAGCGACCACAGCGGGAGAGTGTCAGGTCGGTTCTGGTCTTCGTCCAATCAGTCTGATGCGTTCACAGCTTTTTGCTCCGTTTCTTTGGCTCTTTGCTGAACAGAAAATGTTGAAGGAGCAGTTTTGTAAATTTATTTTAGCTCTACTTCATGTTACGCCTGGGTGGACCTCGCTACTCCTCCCAGCTGCAGTTTCCAGTTTTTACAGAGACAGTGGCCCAATTTCAAGGCATTAGATTACATTAAAGTCAAGTTTCTTTTAAATCATATTTGATACATTGTCATAATAACTGGAGGTAACAAAGCTATAAAATGGGAGAAAAACACACAATTATTAATTCAGCTTTATTCGGGTTTTCCGTCTGTTTAGTTTCGGAGGATCTGAGTTTTGGAGGAACGTACTCTGGGATGGAGGCCATGGGTTTGATTTGGAGCATGCGTCCGGTTCCAGGCAGCCGCGCCGGAGTCAGGTAACATTACAGAAAATGTAAATTAAGCTGAGCTACTTCATAATATTACCCAAAAGGAGTAGAAAATGCAGTACAACTAAATGTGCTTTTTAAAAGAAAATACCCAAATGAATGTATTAAGTTCCTACCCATCTCTGTATGACTAAATATTTGCGCAAATATCTCAAGAAGTTCAAATAACTTCTGCCCTTGTTTTAAGGAGAGAAATATGTAAATAAATTTTATAAGCTGCAGTTAATCAACGTTTACAGCCTCATGTGAAAATGGCTATGAAAAAACAATTGAAAAGCAGAAGTGGCACCTCCTGCACAACCAACAACAATTCAGTAAGTGGTTTCTGAATGAAGTCAACAACAAAACTCTTGTGTTTTCCAGCAGCCATTGTACAGGACATACAATGGCTGCTGGAACTCCGGTGGGGTTGCTAGGTAACGGGGCAGTTGACAGTCGGATTGTTTTTGAAACGGTTGATTTTCTGGACACCAAAAGTATTACGTTATTTCAAAAAAAGTTGTTAGAAGCAGTAGAAAGCCAAATGAAGTCTAAAAATGTTAGCTTATTATCTCAGGTTCGCTTCAAATCAGTTCTTGACACTTGACCCATGACCTTCAGCCATCTGTTCCTGGAGGAAAACACTCCCATGTTGCTGTTTTACCACGGTGGGTCCCATCACAGAGCAAGAGTCAGCAAGAGTTTGTGAGAGTTAAATCATTCCTGGCCAGCCGTCGTTCGTTCGTATGGATCCATGCGCTTGTCTGGAAACATGAAGGTAACTTTGTAATGAACCTACAGCTGATTCTGCTCCACTTTTCGCTGGTCAGGTTGAGGAAGAAGAACGTCACCACCCCCATGCTGGTCACCATCTCCCTGTACAACGGACATGAGGACTTCAGGGACAGCAGTCCTCTGGGTTCTGTAGTAGCGGAGAGGTGGTACATGGGCCCAGGTATCCAGCGGATCGAAATCACTGAGGGAGGATTACGAGGGAGCCTCTTCATACCCGCAGGTAAAACCGCAGGGCAGGACAATTAAAAAAACAACATAATGCTGAAAAACAGAACTATTCTATTTCGCTTTATAATGAATTTAACATATTTTTAAAATTTTCTTCTTACTAAATATTTTTTTTAAATTTCGGCACAATTTAGTGATCATTTTGTTTTTGTCTCACTATTTCTTTAATGATCCTTGAGTTGCACTCTGAAGCTGCTGCAAACCAGACTGTTGCAATGTAGCATCATTAGCACATAAATGTCAACAACTTGGACACATTGCATAATTTAACAACATTAAATTATTGGTTCTTTGTGTTTAGAACCAGTGACTCTCCAAGAATATCCAGTTAAATCTTCTAATTTAACTGCCAGCAGTAATGTCCCCAATCAGCAGGCGCTGGCCGTTAACTAGCAACCAAAGCTGAGCTCCAGAAGGTTTTGGTGAAATTTATTTCAGAAATACTTTATTGACTCCGAAGGGAGATTAGATGTAATAACTCATACTTTTATCTCATGATCTACAGTGTCAAACGCTTTTCTTTAGTGTTTTTATTGCTAAGTTATGAAAACCCTTCATAAGCCTTTGTGTTGTGACCTTCATTGGAGATGTGAATACTGGATGCTCCTGCAGGTCCCGGACCGTTCCCTGGGATTCTGGACCTGTGGGGTGGAGGAGGAGGGCTGCTGGAGTACCGCTCCGCCCTGCTGGCCTCGCGCGGCTACGTCTGTCTGGCTCTGGAGTACTTCAAAACGGGCCAGATGAAGTCAACAGATCTCAGTTTTGAATACTTTGAGGTTCATCTAACTTTTCTTTTACTTCATCTATTTTCAGAATCAGTAAATCACTTAAAGTGAAATCCAGTGTCAAGTTCCCTCTGACATGGGAACTTTTCCAGGTTTTATTTAACCGGGCTCTTCCAGGCTCTGATGCTGAGTTACGGTGTGATAAATTGTGTTGAACATTTTGGCGTTTCGGCATCTTTGAGGTTGGACAAACAAAACCAATCAAGAAATAAAAATGGCGGATTGGTGAAGTTGGTTATCAGTCCTGCAGGAAACGTTAGCTCAATTCAAAATTCAAAGAACATAACAAATGTATTTAAGGACTGAAAAAGTAGATCTCCTTAATATGTCCCTTTAAGTTGTACCTGTCTGACAATAGGAAGTAGGCTAAAAGACTGAGAAGCAACACATCATTCATAAAGAGAATTAAAACTGCTGACATCTGTCAATCTGAGCATCTAAAACAGTTTCACTGCCTTAGTGAAGGTCAGAGGTCACAATTCAACAGTAAGAGGGTCAAAATGATAACGCCCAATCTCTCATTACCAATTTCTACAAGCACTTTATACCACAATTCCAGAAAATGTTTTCTTCTTCATTATCCATCAGTTTGATTATGTGAGTCATTGCTGTATGAAAAATACCAAGAATTGTGACAGTTTTGTACTTTATTTTGGCCTAATGCTCTAAAACTCTCATTAAATTCATTCACCAAAAACAATGAAATCTTAGATTTAATTTTCTTTTTCATATCAAGAGAACTCGATTCTGAAATCAGCGCCCTGTCTGTTTGCGCAGAACGCCTACCGCGTCCTGAAGGAGCATCCTCAGGTCATCGCAGACAGAGTCGGGATCATCGGTCTCTGCCTCGGCACCATCGTGACCTTCGGCTTGGTGACCGAAAGCACAGAGATCCAGGTAAGTCTGACCAAAACGCAGCTCAGCTTGATGAGAATCTTCAGGAAGTTTGAGACGTAGCAGGATTCTTTGTTTTAATATGTCATAAATATTAAAGCAGCTCTGATAAACGTCCAAGCAGAAACCTCCCCAACTATTATTTTGATTTATTATTATTATTTTTAAAACTGTTTAAACTGAAGTTATTTTGCAGAGATTCATTTTGTTCAGGATGATAAAGTTTCCCAGAAGTTATTTTAGTTTTGAGACTAAATGATGACAGAATAACAATCCAATGTCAAAGATCAACTTTAAATTCTAATCAATATTTAACACATGGAGCTGGAAGACACTTTAAATATCCAAAAATAAATGAACAGAAACAATAAATATAATGAATTATGAAACAAAATTATAATTAAAAAAACTTTAAGATTGAAGAAAAAAACAATAAATCATTCAAATGGAAATTATTGAGCTCTTTCTAATTTAGAGTGTGATTTATTGATTATTGATTGTTGCGACTGGCCTGATTAAAGGGGTTTTGGTCAAAAACACCAAATTATTGATCATCATTGATTTCAAAGCAGCTTAAAGGGTAAAATATCCTGGGGTGTAAATACTTTCTGCATGCTGTGTCAGTTTGATATCTGGCATCTGGTCTTTAGCAGCAACATCCTTTGAAGAGCTTTCATTCAGAAACCTGTTCCTGAACGCATCGTTCGGGGTCCCACAGGGTTCTGTACTCGGCCTGTTTCTATCGTTTCTATCTGGTTGCGTTCTGATGTTCGCCGTGGTTCCCTTTCAGCCCTGTTGTGTCGTTTGCATCAGCAACATAATCAGCAAATCTCCAGGAAAATCCCTCAGCGGTTTCCACCGAAGCATTCCCAGGTAGGTCACTGGGAACACTGGGAGCACTGGAGTCTTTCAGGCTTGAACCTCTGTGTGTGTTGACAGCGAGTTCAATAAGATCCGCGTGGACGAGAACAACCATCAGATCTGGAGGGACGTGGGGCTGGCGCTGCTGAAGGAGCCGTCCATGAAGGTGGACGTAAGTATCTCTGGTTCGTCTCCCTGAAGAAACGACTCCAGTTCTTAGAGCCGATTTTAAGCTTCTGTTTCTGCAAGGTGGCCAAAATAAACTGTCCTCTGCTGCTGGTCAACGGATGTGATGATCAGAACTGGTGTTCGGTGGAAACGGCCGATGATGTGAGTTCATGTTCAGCTCCCAGAAGAACTGAAAAAGTTTTAGTCTTTGGATCTTCGCTCATTTTTTCTCAGGTTGATGTTTGTTTACACACAGCCAGGTTTTATCACACATTATTTAAAATATGTATCATTCAGAAAATATTTCATCCACATGAATCGTAAAACAAAATGCCGAGAACAAAGATTGTATGAGAATAAAGTGGAAATAATAGGAGAATAAGCTCTTATTATCAGAATAAAGTCATAAATTATGAGAAAAATTAGAACAAGAATAAAGTCACAGTAATTTTGTGAAGTTATTGGTTTCATAGTTTATAAAATACTGAATCTATTAATGCATCAGATTATTACCAATAGAGGACCTGGAATTAGGCCTGCAAGTGAATGTGTCTATTTCTACCACTTTATTTTTGTATTATTGTGTTTTTTTATTCTTGAAACGTTCAGCCTGACCCTAAAACCTGCTCTCCATAAATCCATCAGATTTGTCTTTTATTCCTTTTCGTTTTGAATCGTGTCAAAGCTCGGCTCTTATTTCAATCTGCAGTGAAAGTTTTTCCTGTTTCCTCCCAGATTTCCAAGACGATGAACGCCGCGGGGAAAGGTCACCTGTTGACCCGGCTGGACTACCCAGAAACCGGACATCTGATCGAGCCGCCGTTCTCGGCTCACTGCGCCGCCGGAACCTTCATTATGTACAGCAACAACCAAAAAGGTCAGCAACACACACATGCACAGAAAATGACACTTTATTTACATTTATTCTATTAAATGAGATGAAAACTGTTGCAGATTTGAATAAACATGTTTATATAAACTAAGATCAGGAATGTTCTTAAAGGGCCGGTTTACTCAGAATGCATTTATAAAACTCATTAAAACAAACTGTTATTAATACATATATCAGAATTTCATAACTATTTTAAGATCAAAATCACTAATTTTCTAAATATTTGCTCTCATGTATGACACTAAATCTGACATTTTGTTAAACTTGACTGTAAAACTGAAGCAGCAGTGAGGAGAAATGCTGCCACCTGCTGGTGGCATCAAAACATTCACAATGATGCATTAGTGAAAAAAAGTTTAGGGTTCTGTTGATTTTGCATAAATGTAACCAGTATTTTTTCATCCACATTAAGAAACTATTTACTCCAAATAAGTTGAAAAATCACTTTTTTGTTTCACTTCAATTACATGAAGATATTTTTTCTAGAAACTAGATCAAACTTACCAGGTGAGACTTTTTGTTTTTGCAGTGTATTACGTAGCATTTATGGCAGCATCATGCTAAGATGTGATGCAAATTTGTTAAACATTTTATTCTCAACCAGAACAAAATCATTATAGACATAATTTCCTCACAGTGGAAAATGTGAAGTGCAACGCAAAGTATTCATCTTTTATAATGACTTAAAAAGTCCAATGCAGGCCGCACCTTTCAGATTGAGATTGCTTTGTTTGATGAAGTTCCGGTAAAATGTCGCGGGTCGTGCCAGGAAGGGGAAAGTCCCTGCGCTTGGTGCTGAAGGTGTGGCCTGTGTTGCAGTGATCCAGAGCTACGGGGGGAAAACGAAGCCGCACAGCGACGCTCAGGACGACTCCTGGAGGAAGATCCTCAGCTTCCTGCGCCACCATCTGTACAGCAGCCACAGAGCCAAGATGTGACGCGCCGACAGGTCAGCATCACTTCTGACACATCGTCAGGTTGCTCTGTGTTTCCACGTTTTCTTTGGTCAAAATAAACATTTTCAGAGCAAAAATACATTAAATTTACAGAAAAGACAGAGAATAAAGTCTGAAAATATATTCCCAAATTTCCAGCTTTTATTTCAATAAACAAGTCAAATTAAACTTGACTAATATAACTAATTAACTTTGTATTCTGTGATAATCTTACAACATGCATTATTTGTTTATTATTGTTAAAAATTAATAATGTTGATATGTTTTGGTCAAATCTTCTGATGTCGGTTTAAACTGAAGTTTTACTTTAATATAGAGACTGAAAATCAAAACGTTTACATAAAATATAATCTGTTGGTTTTGGTGATAACAGCTCACATCCAATATTTCATTTTATAGAGAAACTTTCAGCCTTTTTATCAATAACCTTTATCAATGATGATGAATTTAATATTTCTGTTTTTCCATATTAAATTCTAATGTATGAGCAACTGAACTTGTTTTTTTGTAAACTGCAATCATTAAATTTATCATGAAATAAACTTCATAGATCTACATTGTGTTATTTTCTTGTTTTACTGTCTGAATGGACTCATTAAAAAAAGATTTTAAAGATTTTGGATGAATGAACGATTGGATGTGCGGTAAAGTCTTTTCAGTCCCAATTTTTCAGTAAAAACTCCATTAGGAATCATTTCCTGGATGAATCATTTCCTGGATGAATCGTTTCCTGGATGAATCGTTTCCTGGATGAATCGTTTCATGGATGAATCGTTTCCTGGATGAATCGTTTCATGGATGAATCATTTCCTGGATGAATCATTTCCTGGATGAATCGTTTCCAGAATGAATCATTTCCTGGATGAATCGTTTCCAGGATGAATCCTTTCCTGGATGAATCATTTCCTGGATGAATCGTTTCCAGGATGAATCGTTTCCTGGATGAATCGTTTCCTGGATGAATCGTTTCCTGGATGAATCATTTCCAGGATGAATCGTTTCCTGGATGAATCGTTTCCTGGATGAATCGTTTCCTGGATGAATCATTTCCAGGATGAATCGTTTCCTGGATGAATCATTTCCTGGATGAATCGTTTCCAGGATGAATCGTTTCCAGGATGAATCGTTTCCTGGATGAATCATTTCCTGGATGAATCATTTCCTGGATGAATCGTTTCCTGGATGAATCGTTTCCTGGATGAATTATTTCCTGGATGAATTATTTCCTGGATGAATCGTTTCCAGGATGAATCGTTTCCAGGATGAATTATTTCCTGGATGAATCGTTTCCTGGATGAATCGTTTCCTGGATGAATCGTTTCCTGGATGAATCGTTTCCTGGATGAATCGTTTCCTGGATGAATCGTTTCCTGGATGAATCGTTTCCTGGATGAATCGTTTCCAGGATCAGGTGGCTGTTGTTGGACCTGCAGCAGCAGCATCGTTTCTGCCGCTGACAAAGACACTAAAGGCACACTTTGTCTGAGCGTTTTGTTTCTGCGGTGAACTTCTAGCTTCCTGTGGGTTCAGCTGCGCTGGATGAGCGTCACGATGCGCTGAACGAGTCTTACGGTCGGCTTGCAGATCGAATAACGAGGCTGCAGCTTCTCCTCGGCGCCGGTCGGAGTCACTGCGAATCTGCTGAGCAGAACGAAAAACGGTTGAAAAGTGAAAGTTGCAGGTTGTCGTGATTCCAGCTGCAGTAAATACTTAAATATAACTTAAAGCAAATACCCAACATTTACTGTCTGACAAAAATAATAACCATGTTATGAAATTTACTGTTTTTTTTCTAGCAATAAACCTTAAAATTTGAGTTTTTTTCTTGAAAATCTACAACTTTATAAGTTCATAAATTTCTTTTTTTAAGCCTAATCTCAAATTTCATTTTTTTCTAGCAGATTTTTGAATTGTCAAGGCCAGAATTTTCTCTTGTTTTGTTTTTTAGAAAATGTTTTTAAATTAATCAAAAACCTATTTTTTTTTCTTTTTTTTAGTATGTATATATAAATTTCCTATTCGTTGATATCTGACTAATTTGGGCTTTTTGGGTTGTAATTAGTCGCCTCTCCTGCAGTGCGCTGTGTTTGCCACTAGGCGGCAGTGCAGGCTCTGGATCTCCGACCTGAATTCCTCTCTGAAGTTGAGCTGCAGGTGCTGAGCCAGCTGGTGGTTGTACTGCAGACAGGCCAGCAGAAGACGACAGCGCTGGAACAGCAGGACGGACTCCGCCGGGCTCAGAACCGACCCGTTCTGGTCTGACAGAACCAGAACCAGCTGCCGGGCCTGGTGGCGGATGAAGGGCAGCTGCGGAGGACAGACTGAGGTCAGCTGGAGGAACTGAACGGATGGACTCCAGTAAGGAAGCCTTACCAGGTGGGGGTGAGGCTGAAGGACTCTCAGGATCCACGACACGGACACAAAGTTCTCCCCGGGGAAACATCGGCTGGTCTGAAACAGAAGGAACGTTCCTAGAACCAAACCCAAACATCGGCTGGTCTGAAACAGAAGGAATGTTCCTAGAACCAAACATTTTGTAAATCGTTCAGTTGGCCCGGATGTTCTGAAGCCATTCTCAGTCCACTGATCATTTAAAGATTTTCTTAAGGTCTTACAGCCCCGGTGAAAAGAAAGTACACCCCTACTACTGACTATCATCCTCTAATGGTTAAATACCAATCAGGAAAACTAAGTTATCTAGTTCAACCAACAGTTTACAAAACTCAGCATTTACAGATGAAACCAGAAGTTCACATCCTGAATCTCTGGTCTCTTAGAGCTGGAGGTGTTCAGTTGGTGCGGTCTATGATAGATATTTATAGATATTTCTGTAACAGAACTGAAAGCTGTGAACTTCCTGCCAGAACTCACCTCATAGCCCAACAGCAGCAGCTCAAACAGCAGAGAGCAGGCAGCATCCAGGTACTCTGAGAGTAAAGCCTGAAGCTGCAGAGGTACAGTTAGAGACCAGCTGATTGTTTCATGACACATTTTAACAAATCCAGTTTACCTCGGAGTCAGATGCGGATCCTCGGCTTTGCTTCTCACAGTCAGGATCACAAATGAAGGCGAGCAGCAGTCTGGAGATCAGAGCCCCTCTGCAAGGAGAAACACCGTTAAGCTGCATTTCCTGGCAGAATGCACTGAGTGCTGAACCTTTTAGCAGAAAGTATCATAAATTAGTGTTAGATTTAAAACAGACACAGCAAAAACTGTCAATCTAAACAATCTGGAGTCGATTTGGAAACCGTAAGAAAAATGACAGAACCATACAAAAAGCTGAAACATATGACCATCAAAGAAAAAACCTAAAAAAAAAGGAAGACATTTATGCAAAAATCAAAAAAAAAAAAATCAAGGAAAAGTTTGAAAATTTGAAAAATTTTTAGAAAAAAATTGCTTTTCAAAGTTCCAAGTTTTTTCCAGGTTTTGTTTTCTTACAAATTTTTGACTTTTCATAATTTTTTTTAATCTAAAAAAAAGGTCTTATTTTCATGTTCTTTTATTGTTTTGATCTTTAGGTGTAAATTTACTCCTTTTACCATAATACACTGCATTAATAATTCAACATGTTTCCAAGTTGACTTCAGTTTGTTCAAGTTGACAACTCTGTTCCTGTTCTGAAGCTACTGCTAATTTATATTTCACTGGTGAATTGATTTTAAAATATATGAACATTTCTTAGTTAATTAATTTTTTAATTATTAAAAAAAAAACAATAATCAAAATAAATTAAATAAGCTCCACCTGGCAGCTGTTCAGCATCTGGAGAAGGAAAATATTGACCCGACAGTTTTACGGCTCCCTGGGAGTTTAGTGTTTACCTTTTGGCGAACAGCAGGTTGCTCCTGGATACGTCCACCTCCGTCTCTCTGAACATGATGCCGATCGTCTGGACGATCAGCGTACTCAGCCTGAACGAGACGACAGCACAAATGTCTGCTGAAAATGGGATTCAAGCAACTTTAAACACATTTAGACTTTAGCCTGATTGTTTATTAGCTTGGCTCAATTAAGCTAATTTCTCCCAAGCATGAAAGTCTGAATCCATCCCATCGTACACCTCACCACTGTCTCACCATCACTGACTTTTTCTTCTCTTGACGCTTTCCTTAATCAACAAAGAACAACAAAACTGCCCTAATTCAAACACAAACTTACTGTGGCAATAGCCTAGCTTAAATCTCTATAGCACTAGCTTAAATCTATAGCTATTAGCCTAGCTTAAATCTCTATGATCAGTAATTAAATTATCATTCTCTCTATGCTAAGTATGCTTAGCTTAGCTGAGTCAGTAGTGCAATTAGCATATGCTAAGTAGCATACTTAGCATAAACATATGACATATGCTTATGCTAAGTAAGCTATTTAGCTAATACTTATTTTAAGTAGTAGCTTTTAGCTACTTAGCTCTAGCAACCAGAGGTATCAGTTCTGCTGAAACATCTCTCACAACAATGATGCTAATTTTGGAAGCTAACTTAACTTTAACCTTGCCTAAAGTCAGACTTGGTCAAGCTTTACAGCTTTACAGGTTTGATCTAAATTTAACTACAACTTTAGTTTAATCAAACATTTTCTGATCCAAATCTCACTTGTTTCTTCCTCATTATGACGATGATAATTCAACCTAAGTCTGCCCCCTGGTGGTTGAGGTTGGGACTCTTACAGGAGCTGATCTGTGGTGTAAACTCTGCTGGAACTCTGACAGCCATGAAGACATTCCTCCAGAGTCTGAACCAGGAAGACCAACACCTCACCAGACTGAAAACAAAAATAAATGGACACATTTCCAGGTATTTGCACTCAGTCTGTTCTGTCTTTGTGGTTCTGCAGTCTTTACTGCAGCGTCTCACCCTCCAGAAGAGCCTCCTCAGCGTGATGTTGCGGTGAGCCGCCGTCCTCAGCTCCTGCAGCAGAAGGTACAGTTTCTCCACGGTGATGCCGTCCTGCAGGAGCTCCGCACTCAGCTGAGCGAACAGGTGAGCCGTCCGCTCCGCGCTGCAGAGACCAAACACAATCCACCGTCTTTTTCTGGTTTTGAAACGGGGCTGGAGACCAGTACAAGGTTTACTGGTCTACTGGGTGTAGACCAGACATTTTCAAGTATATGCAATGTGCAGCTCAGAACTAACTCAATAAGAAAACCTAGCAAAGACTTTCAGGATGATGAAGGAAGATGGTTTGTTTGCAGATGTAATTTTTGGTTGCATTTGGATCTACTGGCTGATTTAGATGAGAAATTAGTTTCTTTAAGTCCCTTCCTGTGTTTGGACTCTTGTTCGCCATGTTTCACTGGGAAATCCAGGCATGTCTCCGATGTTCCCAGATTAATGATCCAGCGTTTAGTTAGAAGAGACGATCAGATTCCTGAAGACCAGAGAGTTTAAGTCACTTCTGAAATAAAAGTGATCAGTTGTTCCAACCTGATGGAGTCGGACGTCGGCGTGCTTCTCCTCCTGTAGACCGGATCCAGCAGCAGAGTCGACCTCTGGACACACAGACTGTCAGAAAACCGTCCAACACAGAACCAGACTGTCCTCTGAGTCTCCACCCACGATGATGAAGCTGTTCCAGCAGCTCTGCAGGTGGAGGAACAGGGTGGAGGTCTGGGAAACCACGTACAGGTGCAGCTCCGCTTCCCTCTCTTCCGCTCGGTCCCGCCTCAGCAGCCGGGTCAGGACGGAGCCGATCCTCCGGGTCACCTGGAACCGCCATGAGGGACACCATGCTGAGTTTGGACCAAACAGAACGCTGTGACCTCTGACCCTGCTGTTTAAATCGACCCCTTTTTCAGTGGCATTAGGTATTTAGAAGAGAAACAGACCCACAGCATCACAGAACCTCCGCCGTGCATAACAGTGGGAATGAGGTCTGTTTAGGAAGGAAGGAAGAAACTAAGGAGATAAGGAAGGATGAAAGGAACCAAGGAAACACCAACAACAAGGACAGAAAGAGGATAGGAACCAAGGGGAGCCGGGAATGAATCTGGAATTGTTCTAAACTTTTCCAGACCTGGAAAATGCTGAAATCAATCCCAGGTTTTTCCAGACTTAACCCTTTATTTCCTCACTTAACTCACCTCCCTTATTCGAATGGTATGTTTCCTTTTCTTTCCCATTTTAATTAACTTCCACCAAACAATTGAAGTTTTTCCCTCGTTATCATTTATTGTCTTTAACTTCTGATCATTTGTGTAAATCTAAAGAGATGAAAGTTTTATTTAGCTTTCAGAAGCCGCCCTTACCTGGCGGCTCTCGGCCGTTTTCAGGCTTTCCTCTGGTGGAGAGGAAGGAGGCGAAGGAGGATGAGGATGAGGAATCCTGGAGAGGCCCAGAGTCTCCGGGTCCGGGCAGGAGGCGGAGCGGCTGCTCTTCATCACCGGCTGCTCCTCTTTCTTCCACCAGCTGAAAACAGCAGCAGGTTGAACAAAATGTCAACATGCTGCTCCTGCTGCAGCACTGCACTGTAAAAACTTCCTCTGGAAACAAGTTTAAAAATTGTCAGTAACTGCTGGTGATATTATTGCAAACATTTGTTCTCCACTACACCATGGTGGCCATCTTGAAAAGATTTCTATTGGCCCAATTATGTCTGACACAATTATTTCATCTATGATGTAATTGTTCTTGACAACCACAGCACCGTCCTGACAAAGGTCAGCCATCTTGAAAGTTTCAGTGGGCAATGTGTTTTTTAAATCCCTGCATTTTCTCCTGCTCCTCTGCTGGATGCCATCGTTTAAAGTTTGTCCTTGAACGTTTCTGCTTCTCTTTAGCTGCTGTTTGTCCTCGTTTTGTTCTGAACTCCTGCTGTTCCTGGAGGATTTGCTTTATTAACTGATGCGTTTAATGACGTCCCAGTGGAGCAGCACATGGACACATTTACACTCTGTGCTGTTTGCATCCGCTCCCTTTGAGGCCTCCAGGCAACCGTTCAGAGGCCGTGACAGTAAATCTTCCTGTCTTCGTCTCATTACCGTCGACTCGCCGTTTCCTGACAGAAACTCAGAGGAATTAGCAGAGCAGTTCAATCCCAGGAGGCTGCAGCAAAAACAGCAAAGCTGCTGCATGATGAGACTTAAATCTGGATCAAATGTTTAATTCAACGCATTTCTGTCTTACTAGCAAGTTTTAGTTAATTGGATTTGGTAGCAGTGGTGGGTATCGCTAAATAAAAGGTTATCAGCGCTAACACTAAGCATTAGTTCAGTTCATGCTAAAGCGTTATAACAAAATATTAAGCTAATGCTAAAGTGCGACCAACATTTAGCAGAAGCTAAAGCACCATAAAAATATTACTTAGCAGAAGCTAATGCTAAAGCTCAATACCAAAATAGTGTCAACAGAAGCTAAATCTGGTTGCTGCTGATTCCTAATCATCGATCAGAAACAACTAAAAAGTAAAAACTTTAAAGTAAAAAATAAAAACTAATAGTGAAAATAAATAAACACAAAACAATACATTTAATTAAAAAAAACTTTTAAATGATAAAAATATAAAATTGCATTCAAAATAAAAAAGCTAATTAAAAACAAAATTGAGTATAAAAAACCAGGAAATACAGACACCTGAGATTAAACCTTTCATGTGTTTTGATAACAGATCAATATTAGATCATGTCAAGGAAAATCTTAATCTGGGAACTTTACCCAACAGGAAGGTAACAAAATGAAAGTGAGTACAAACAGAAATTCAATCAGGTGTGCGCTCACCTGTCTGCAGGATATCCTGTGAGGGAAGCAGAGACACGGCGAGGTTAGGATTACAGGTAAGATTACAGGTAGGATTACAGGTAAACAGTTCAGAACAAAGCAAAGCAACACCGGCCTCTCGGTTTTCAGCAGATCACAGATTATTCTGCTGGAAAGTTTGGCATTAATGAATCTGTGTTTAACTCTCAGCTTTCTCTTTTAGCACCCTGAGAACATCGTCAGGATTCTGGCATTGTTCTGGTCCGGGTTTTTATGCTAACATTAGCTTTATAGCTAAAACTAATATTTTACCAAATATTTTGATATAAAAGCAAAATTTCACACACTGAATAAACCAAAGTGCTAGTATACCATTTATAAGACTCACAGCATTTTAGCTAACATTAGCATTATAGCTAGTTTTAGCCTGTATAGTCTCATTAACATACTTTGTATTGTAAGAAAATGTCAGTCAAAATGCTAATCGTAACACTCAAACTATTCACAGAATTTTATCTAATATAGTATTTCAGCCCATTTTAACATAAATACTGCTGTTAGCATAATGTCAGCCAGCATGCATTCTATTGACAGCATTTTAGCTAGTCTAAGTTAAAATTAGCATTGTAGCTTATTTTAACTTGGATATTACTGTTAGCATAAGTAAAAGTGAGTCAACATGCTATTGATAGCATACATGCTACTGACAGTATTTTAGCTCATTTTAGCTTAAACATGGCTGTCATCATGAGTCATGAAAACAAATTTATTTGCACCTTTTAAGTCGTGTGTTCTGATTGGACAGTGGCTGGCTCTGCGAGAGGGCGGGGCCACAGAAGGAAGTCCCTCCCTCTTCTCCCTCTGTAACCAATCATGTTCCTTCTCTGCAGGCCTTTCTGGGCTGTAGGTGATCCGTATGTGCTGGCAGCGCTCCCTGTCCTTTGAACTGAGGAAATCTGGGAGGTCGTTCACCTGCACAGGTAAAACAGGAAGTTCAGCACTAAGTCAGGAATATTTGACAGAAATATTAAGAAACTTTTCAATTTTTTCATTGCAAATTTATGTTGATTTATGGACTAAACTTGACAGCAATTGAAATCTCTGAATACATTTCTGAAATTCTTTTATTCTTGTTTCATTTATACAATAAAAAAATTACCTCTCAGGTTTCTCTGTGAATGCTTAAAATTTTAAACTCAAGTATCTAAAATGAAGACCTTAAAATGTCTTACATTTGTTTAGAAAGTAAGTTAGCCTTTAATCTTACTCCCAGGTTTTAGATTACCATTTCAGACTTTTTAATCCATGTTAAGATTAAACTTTATCATCAGGCAAAGGTTGAGTCAGACAGCTGCGCTGCTCTCTGACTGCAGACACCTAAAGCTACCACTAGTTGGCGCTTTGTGTTTACTTTTCGGACAATATAGGGCTTAATAATGGTTTAAAAGTGTCAAAATTGATCAATTAATTAAACTAAGTTTGTGAAACCTTGCCATTACAAAAATGATCATTTTTGCTTAATTGTGAAGGAATTATGCAAAAACTTGATGATTACGTTCATTAATATATTGGAAATCAGCTACATTTTCCTGACCTCGGTTAATTTTCAACATCTTTCTGCCCTGCAGAGGCAGAGAGACGGAAACGGAGCCGAGTGTTTATTTATTCATGGAGTTTCACTGACAGATGGTCCAGGTGAGCTGCTGCAGCCATGATGGCAGAGGTCAGAGGTCGACTCCAGCAGTAATCTGTCACGTTAGCACAGTTGGGATTATTGCTAAGCTTCTGACCCAACAACAAGCTGTGGGAATCCCAGATTTAGCTGCCAGCTTTCTGACTCTTAAGTTGTGTTGTACTAACATTAAACCTATTTTCAGCTCCTGCACGAAGTCAGTCTGTTTAAAAATAAATTACCATCAGCAACTCGAATCATAATCAGCTTCTAGTTGGAGTCTGAAATTAGATCTCTTGCCTATTAGATACATTGATTGAAATGTTTTTAATTGTAACCATTCCCAATTTTTTCTCTAATTGGGTTGCAGGACTTAAAATAAACCAGGAATTTGAGAAATTAAAGCCACAATTAGCTAAAAGAAGCTAAGTACTGCTAGGTGAGGCTAATACCAGAGAACGTGTGGTCCGTCTAAAAAGCTCGGTTTGTGAACTTTGGACTGGTTTGAATGCATATGTGAACGCCAAGTGGACCAGAGACCTCTCCAAAAGCAGGAAGTGGACTAATTGTGAAGGAACGCTGCTGCTCCTGTTCTCACTAAAACCAGTTAGAGACATAACAGCAGTTTTAAAGTCCCTCCACTGGCTCCTTGTAGCTCAAAGAATAGATTTTAAAATACTGTTGTTAGTTTATAAATCACTGAACGGTTTAGCAGCACAATACATTAAAGATCTGCTGTTGTTGTATCAACCTTCCAGACTCTCAGGTTCTGGTTCTGCTTTGCATCCCCAGAACCAGAACCAAGAGAGGAGAAGCAGCTTTCAGCATCTATGCACCAAAAATTTGGAACAAACTTCCAGAAAACTGTAAAACAGCGGAAACCCTGACTTCCTCGCAACTAAAAACACACCTGTTTAGAGTTTTATTTGAAACGTAATATGTAACAATGTTTATTCTATGTTGCATGACTTTGTGTTTTTATGTTTATGATGTAAAGCACTTTGAAATGCAAGGCATTCACTTTGAAATGTGCTATACAAATAAATGTGCTATACTAATAAAATTTGATTTGATACATTCTGGGAAAATACAGCCAAAGAGACGGGCTAGCCCAGTGCTAGCCCAGTGCTAGCCCAGTGCTAGCAGGAGGAACGGCTTGGAGTCTTTAACACCACTCCGTGTTTCTTTACATGTTGTGATGAAGGAAGTCGAACTCGGTGTCTTCAGAGGCTTTTGTGTCGTTTCCTTTAGTGATTATTGGTGCAGCGCCCCCACAGGTGAGGAGGGGAACAGGTTTTTCAGATTTTTTTTCAGTTTGAGATAGAAACAGCAGCTGAAAATAAAACAAATGTTGCGTCTTTCGTTCACCAATTGAAACGACTGGATTATCATCACTTCTACTCGCTTTGGCCTCTTTCTGCTCTGCAGTTTTCATCACTTGCATATTTCAAATGTTAACATCATGTTCATCTTTCCTCTTCTCAAAACCTCCAGTTAGTTATTTCAGACGGCCACTTGTACTGAGTCCGGTTCTGGTTCTGGTGGAGGATCTTTTTCTGTTTTTCCTGTCCACTGTCGCCCTGCTGGTGCAGGAGGAGTGAATGCAGGTCAACCATTCAATGCAATTGGCTGACTGACTTTTAAACTACTTTTCTGATAACTAGGATAAGTTGAAATGTATAGATTATTGAATTGAAATTATTGTTTTAAGAAGTGCTTCCAGACGTTTTTTGTGAATCGGCACAAAAACACAAACCATGATGCTGCCACCACCGTGCTCACAGCATGCCTTTGACAGCCGAGGCCAAAATGATTCCCGTTGAAGTCAGGAGTCTGAGCTTGACTTCAACGCCGTTAAAGAGAGGAGAAAAATAATATTTTTATTTCCATCCAAAACATTCAGAAATTGTGAAATTCATGTCAGGAATTTTCTGTTCTTGTAAAGTAAATTACAATAAAAAACTTGAAAATTTTAAGATTCATCTCAGATTTTTTTTCCAAGAAAGGTTCTGAGCTCAAAGTCTAAAATTTGTGAGAATAAAAATTATTCCGGAGATTTTCATTTACATTTCTGGAAACAATTTTCTGAGACTGAAAAGTCAAAGATTTTCACATTTTCTCAGTTTTAAAAATAAAAGATTTTTTAAATGTTCATTTTTATTTTATTTTAAATTAATCTAAAAAAAATTCTCATAAATTTTGTGACTTCAAAAAATTTGGCGTTTTTTCCAGAAATTTTCCGAACTTGTTCTCTAAATTTCTGAGTCTGTTGATAGTAATTTTTATGAACTGTTTGGAGTAAATTCCAGAGTTGAATGTAAATATTTTGGAGCTGTTTCCTCACCTGTAGGTTTTCCTGCTGTTAACTTGACTTTGAAATCAACTGAATGTTTTTTTTCTTATACATTTTATTTATTTTAGTAAATAAAATGACCTCTCCGTCACTTAAAGACGAATTTCAACAATAAAAACTTTTTCCTCTTTTTTGAACTCACCAGCTCGATGTCGCGCACGCGCTCAAGGCTCACGGCGGCGGTCAGCGCGCGCGGCGGGAACTCGGTCAGGTACACGCGCTCGTCACTCAGCACGGCGTACATGTAGACCTTGTTGATGACGTCAGAGACCACCACGCACGGTTCGTAGGTTCGGATCCGCTCGTACAGGGCCCGCTCCGTGTTCCGCTTCAGGAACGAGTCCAGCCGGGGGTTCCGGCGGGGCAGCAGCGGAGAGACGTCGGGTCGACTCCGAGCCATGACCCGGGCGCTACTTTCTGCAGCGGATGGAGACAGGAGGCGGTTCGGTTCCGCAGTCCATCGGGTCGGTTCGTGTTTTCCGAATGAAGCAGGCAACGGGTCCAGTCAGGTTAAGAACTGAACAGGTGAACCGCAAACAGGGCGCACTGCTTCCTGATTGGTCCGCTTGTTTCCCTAGCGCGCTGCTGATTGGCTGAGAGATGAATTAGATTCACACACAGTCTTTTATTTTTAAATAATAGCTTATTCATTAATAGGTTGAAATGTTAAATTAATTAATTTTTTATGTGGACAAATTCTGGAATAATCATTTTAGATTTTTAAAAGTTATTTATTTGTATTTATTCCATAAATAGTGATGTGATTATTATTTTCCTGTTTTTTCCTTTCCAGGACGAATTTTCCTCAAAGAAAACAAATAAAGATTCTTGTTTCATTTTCACAGAATATTTTCTTTCATTGCTGCATCATATAATTTAAGTTTAATCTCTTAATCCAGAATAACTGGGCGTGACTACTGCTGCTGTTTCAGTGTCATTGATCTGGAGAGTTTCTGTTGTTTCACAGGAAATGAGTCAGATAATGCAGAAATAATTAATAATAGCTTGTAGAAAAATCACAATTTAATGAATGAATGTTCAAAGTAATTATTTTAATTAAATAATTCATGATGTATTTATATTCAATTTTATTTAAAAATACGAGATACAAAAATATTTCTCCATTGCTTATTTATTCCATCTTAGTTGTGTTTTTTTTTACACTAGTTTTATTAAACCTCCAAACAACAAAATATTCTCTAAATTGTTGTTTTTATATGTTTTTTCGCCGTTCTGCCACGAGAGGGCGCCAGAATGCAGTCAATATAAAACTAATTAATAAGCGAATCCTACAAATTATTTTAGATATTTTGGAGTTTGATTTCTTAATTTCTTGTATAGAATATTCTAGGTTAATATTATCTTGATAAGTCTTAATTAGCAGGAGGTTTTCTTCAGCGGCTGCAGCTTTTAAATAAATTGAATATTTTTAAAGCAAATTTTAAACTTTTCAAACTCAGAAATGTTCTTTTCCTTTTTCTGCTACTCTAATACAACATTGTTCTTTACTTTCTCAACATGAAGCTTAAATACATTTCAAAACTGTTTTAATATTCATGAAAAACGACACAATAAACTTTAAGATATACATTCACTTTCTATCAACTAGTTTAGAAACATCTGTTGTTTCTGTGTGAATTTACAGATTAAGAATCATTTAGTTGATAATCTCTGTATTGTCTCTTTACTCTGTGATGCCTCAATCATAAGAAAAAATGATTAAAGTAGAAAATTGTGATGTTTTCTTATGAAAAGCAGACTCAGTGTTTGTGGACGTTGGTTCTGGTTCTGGTCAGTTGACGGGCCGCGCCTCCATCATGTGCAGCTGCGAACAACAACGGTGGGCTGAGCGCTCACACTGCTGCTTTTGTTCTGCAGAATAGAAGAAACGCTCCCGTTTCACCAGCGGGCGGGAGAATAAAACACAAACCGAGTTCAGCTGGCGGTGACCTTCCTGCCCTCACAACGAGGCTGAAGTTCACATCAAGTCCTGATTTTCTGTTTTGATTCACAGATTAAAGCGCTACAATTGTTTACATTTCTTTATTAAAAAAAACAAGAAAACCTTTCTGCAAGTTTGGAAAGTGTTTCTTAAATGATTTGCTGACAGTTTGGTGCAAAACTGTCATGACAAATAAACTTTAAAAAACATAAACTCGTTCAATTTGCTAACATTAATGTTCACATATTTTCAGAGAAAAACGAACTCTTGTTGTGGTTAGTTAAAGTTCAACTTCCTCTTTTCCGCAGTGATTCACGTCCAAAACAGAAATAAATCCATTTGAAGGTTGTAGAAATGTTTTAGATTAATTAACTAATTAAACAGCGCAATCACAAAATTGTGCTTTTTCGACATTAGCTGCACAATAACCAAGTTTTGCTCACAAAAGGCTTTTATTTTGGTATAAATTCAGATCTAAATAACCTTATTTCACAAAAAAGAGCTCAAATGTTTGTGTTTTAAATTAGTGGTTATTAATGATAATCTAATTTAATCGCATGTGTTTGATTGTCCATTAGACTGGTCTTCAGTTACGTGATCAACGGATTTTGTAGTTTTCACTTTAAAAGTCCTCAGTTTAGATGTTTAGCAAACTGTATTTCATCTGTTCTGAAAATAAACAAACCTTTGTTTCAACAAAGAACAAAGAAAAAAAAGACAAAACATGTTTTCTGTATTTCTGTAGGAGTTGAATCCCAGCAGCCGCTCATTTTCTCTCCTCCCAGCTTCAACCCGAGGCTGCCGCCGAGTCCTGACGGAAGTTACCGAGCGCAGCCGAAGAGAAGCCGAAGAGAAGCCGAGCAGCAGCGCCGGGCGGCAGGTTGGACGGCTGGACTTGTCTCGGTTTTCTGGCCGCTGAAAGGTCCGCGGACACCGCAGGGATGAGCGTCCTGTCCAGCTGGGAGCTGTGCGTCAAATACGCAATTTTCATCTTCAACTTTGTCTTCTGGGTGAGGAAACAAGAAATGAGCTAAAATATTCACTGACATGCAGTTTACTTTAGATTTATCTCTTCATTTTTACAGACTCATTTCACAGGTTTATATATTCAGTTAGCAGAAGAAAAACTTGAATAAAACTGTAAATTAAGCTCAAAGTTGGACTAATTATTAACCACAAATGACATGACAACATTATGCACTGAAAATTGATATGATGTGTGGGAAATGTTTTGGCATTTTACTTTAAAAGTTGACAGATATTTTAGCTTACTTATTGTGGAAATTTTTTGTTTTCTTCTGGCAAATTTCTGACTTTTTAACACCAGCAAATATCCAAGTTTTTTCTTCTTCTTGAAAACATGTTGACTTCATCTAGAAACTTTCTTTATTTGGAGGAAACATTTCTGCCTCCCTTTATCAACGTCTCTAAATAATAAAATAATGAGCAGGTAAACATTGTGAAATCATTTTGATTCTGATTGAAGTTCAATTAAAAGATCGTTTATTTATCACAAAGGGAAATGAAATGTTGTAACTCGTATCATCTGTATCTTCAGTCTCCAGTAGCAGTCAGTCTTGCAGCACATCTAATGAGGACTCTGACTGAAGACTGTTGCTGTATGAGAGTCTCATGCTAACATGCTAATCCACCTCATTTTCTTTTGCTGCTCCTCTTTGAATCCCTGTTTCAAGAAAAATGGTTGAAGCTCAACAAACACTTTTTTACTCTTATTTTAGTGATTTTCTAATTGATTATTTGTTACTTGACTACAAACATTAGTGGCACATTAGGGCCACTGTAGATAGAAAAAGGAGTACATTTTCTCCAAAAAAACTCAGTAATTTTTTAGAAAAAATTTACAATTTTAATTTGGAAAGCAGAAAATTTGCTAGAAAACAATTTAACATTTTGAGATTATTAGAAATTAAAAAAAAAAAAAAAAAACAATGTATTATAATACTTAAAAAAAATGAGATTAATCTCAAAACGTCTGATTTTTTTCTTGCAATTTTTCAGTTTCTGATACAAACTCAACTCGAAGCTTCAACCCAACATTTGTTGTGTTTGTAGTTCTGATGCGCTCCACAGGGGGCGCTGTTGAGGCCTTCCACCTTTTAACCTCAACATGACAGAGTAAAGTTCACCTGTCTCTACTGTGAGAGTTAACACAGAAAATGTTCAGTTTGTTGATGTTTTATTGCAGGTCAGTAAACAGTTATTAGTCGGTTAATCTGTCGGTTAATCTGTCAGAAATCTGCAGCAACTGCAGCAGCTGGGAAACAAAGCTGCTGTTGTTTGGTTGAACTGGGCCTGCTGGGAGCAGAGAGCAGCTCCAGTTACCTCAACCAGCAGCTGTCCCACCGGCCTGAGAGTACACCTGTTGACACTCAGAAATAAAGACTAAAACCAAGATATCCAATCCAAATAACTTGGTTTTAGTCTATATTTTTGGTTAATCTGCTCACCAGTGAAATAGATAACCAATATTTATTATGTTTATTATGTTTATGCATAAACATAATGCATAAACATTTGTTTTCTTATTTGGAAGAAAACAAATAATTTAAAGAAATTCTGTTGTTTCTACTAAGAAAAGAGGTCAAATATCTCAAGGTTTCAAACCAACTCTGGTAATTTCAATAATTCAAATAAATCATTTTCAACTTTTTTCAAAAAGTTGAAAATGTTTAAGTTTTCAAACTCTGAAATTTTCTATTTTACTTCTAGAAAAATTCTGGGATTAATCTTACATTTCTGAGTGTTTTCTGTTCACATTTTAAACTTTTCAAACTCGGAAATTTCTGACTTTTCTAGAAAATTTCTCAAATTCATTTCTAAATATTTGAGATTTTTTGGCAGCAAAACCAAATAATTTAAAGGAAAAATGTTAAGTTCAATAACCAAAACTATAAATGCCTCTGGTTTGTTTACTTTCTAAAAAATAAATTGGGGGAAAATGTGTTTTTATTCATATATAATACGTATTTATTATAATCTTTTGTAAACTCCAGTGAAAGTGAGAAATGATCTTGTTTTATGTGTTGATGGTTAGTTTAGAATTAGTTTCTTTATTTTTGTTTCTGCTGCCGTTTGTGTTTAGTTTAGTGATTCCTGATCAAATCTCCACTGAGTCATGCTTCGGGTCGTTAGATGTCGGGTTCTGACCCAGTTCTGCTCCTCTGAGCCTGTTAATTGCTTTCACCTGCAGGCTGAGCTGTTAACCAGCAGTTTTGGTTTTCTGGTAGAAAGCCAGTGAATTCTGTCCGCCCTCCTTTTAGACACACCTTTTCCTCCAGTCACTTCCTCCCACAGCCGTTCCTAGGTGAGCAGCACAAGGTGTGGTTTCTTTCTCAGATTCTCCTTTTCCACTTTCTGCTGAGTTGGAAGCTCATATTTTCTGCTGAGGAAAGTTTAATCCTAAACTGAGAGTCATGAATGGAATGCAGTGCCTCAAATATGCCATGTTTGTCTTCAACTTCCTGTTCTGGGTATGTAGAAAGCGCCTCCTGTCTGCTCTGAGTTCATGCTTTAGACTCTGGCTGCTTTTATTTGATGATCTGCAGCTTTTATCAACCTGTTTCTGAACCTAAATGTGTCGTTTTTATGCTTGTAG